GCTAGAGCTGTAAAATATCAAAACAATCCCCTTCTTTGAGGGACTACTGTTTTCTTACTCAATGAAAGTTTTTGTTCTCTAAAATCACATTTGTCAGAAATTTTGCTGCTTGAATTTGGACACAAGTGACTTGGACACAGACAAGCAGCCTTGGTTTACATCACAGGTGCTAAGCTTCTGAGAAGGGGTTTGGGGACACAGCATTCCACAAGGAAACAACACTCTGAGGCCATTTCACATTGTAGACCTGACATTGACCCTGCTTTGCTTTCAGTCTCAAAATACTGCTTCATTTAACTTCTATTTCCCCTTTGTCCAAATCCTTTAACAACTCTGTCCTTTGTTGGTCCTGATGTGTAGCCTCCCACATTGCAATGGGTTAATAAATCTGACTTTATCTGATTACAGGTCTATGGATGGCCTAGGACAGCATCATAATCTATAAGAACCTTGTTGTTCTGCAAAATGTGCCATGACAACCTACATAGTTTAGTGTTTGGGTTATGACTATATAGATGCAACAGGGGAAAGGATTAACAAATTTTTAGCCAAGGTTTAGTTTCTTAGTAAATGGAGTTATTTGTTAACCTGAAAGTTGATTCTATGATTTAAATGTGAAAATAGCATTGAAGAAATTTAAAGTCCATTATAAAAAATAAAATATATGGAAATTTGCATTTAGAGAAAAAAATTCCTAAAGAGTTGGGTCAAACAAAGTTAACTTCAGAGAGCTAAATTCCTGGCCAAACTAACCCTGTAACACTCAGCTTAAATATTACTTTCCTCTGAGCTGTAACACTTGAGTCCTGTCCCTAGTCTTTCCTCTTATAGACTCTGGTGGCACCTGGTGTTATATCTGTGCTATGGCATACACCATGCAATATTGCGACGGTGAGATTCCCTGTCTCCCCTATTCATCTCAACTCTCAGTTCATCAACTGCAGGGTCCCATCAATGACAGGGTCCTAACACATGGCACAAAGGAGGAGCTCAATAAATGTTAAACAGTGCCTCCCCGGTGGCACAAAGGGCTAAGCATAGCACCCAAAAGCTGTCTGCAGCTTCTGCGGCATGAGTTCAATCCCCGCCTGCCAGAGAGCTACCCACATGGCACGGCAGACCTCTCCTGCCTCGCCTCAGAGTGGGAAGTAGGACAGGGAGATCTACTGAAATACACTGCTGGGGAGTAGTAGCAGGTGAGACAGGAGAGGTCACACCATGTGGGTTAGCTCCCAGGGGTGGAGGGAAGGAAATGGGGGCTTAAACTCATACCACAGTGACTGGCAATAGCTTGATAGCGCTGAGGCTTTAACCCCTGGGCCACCAGGGAGGTCCAATCCCTATGAAAATTCTAATGACATTTTTCACAGAAACAGAAAAAACAACCCTAAAATTTGTCTGAAATCACAAAAGATCCTGACTAGCTAAAGCAATCCTGAGGCAGCGAAAATAAAAATGGACATATCATGCTCCCTGGCTTCATACTATGGTACAAAGTTACAGTAATCAAAGTGGAATGGTATTGTGGCACAGTATTAGAGTAAAAAGAGATATGCAGATCAATGCAGTAAGACTGAGAACCAAAAAGTAAACCCAAAAATACATAGACAGTTAATCTGCAACAAAGGAGCCAAGAGTATACCATGGAGAAACGCAACGCTTGGCTTTCAGTCAAAGATAATGTCAGAAGAGGTTCCTTGCTCTGCTCCCAGGAAAATAATTTGAAAGTTAACTCACATGGATGCTTCCCCCAGAGTTCTGTGGCTTGAGGTAAAAGTGAAACACTTCTTGAATATCAGAGGCCAACAAAGAGTACAACAGAGGGGACCCTGAAGAAATTCATGGTTCATGAAGTAAGAGATGGGTGATGAGAGATGCCTAGAGGCTGTGGTCCCAGGAGGGCAGCTGCCTTCAAACCATGGCTCTGCTGCCTGGTTAGTTGTCCTGGAGAGGGGAATGCTTAGCTGTATGGAGGCACACACCACTGACTGAGGGGAGATATGTGCGAAGGAATTAGGGTGTTCCCAGTGGGCCCCATCCCCAGTGATGCACTAGCCTGATTCCCCCTTCTCAGAACTGATCTGACTATCTATGCAGCTGACAGTGCACACTCTGCAGACTTGGGTCTAGAGCTCCTAACGAAAATGGGGAATGGGAGGATATATCAGTGGTGCGACAGGCATAAGTTAGCCGTCTGCTCCCATTCCCACCAACATCTGAGCCCCTTCAACACTTTCCAATTTGGCACTATCTTGAAATCAAACATTCATAAATACTATAACTTAATTACTCCAGATTTTTACCCTGAGAAATTCCTACAAACATATATCAACATGTCGAAAATTCAATGTTCAGAGCATCAATGTTTGTAACACCAAGTAATAACCCAGATATATCCATCAATAAGAAAACTTCTCAGTGGGGAGTTTTCAGCTCAAGTGTTATTTCTTTAGACCTTCTCCGAACTCTAATTTTAAAATATACTTTCAGTCATTTCTTCTAGCAGCTACCCCCTTATTTTTACATCACAGTTACTATCTTTGACTCTATGAAAAAAAGAATACTGTGCCTCTTCTTAAAAGCTAAGAACATCAACTAGCTTACAATCAGCAAGAAAACAACCACCTCAGCCCTTTAACCATTAGGAGGTGAATTCTGCCAACAACTTGAGGAAGCTTGGAGATAGACTTCCCCAGTCAAGTCTCCAGATGAGAATTCAACCTGACCAACAACTTGATTATAACCTTACAACATCCTGAGTAGACACTGCTAAATCATTCCCAGGAAACATCCTGCACAAAATTAAGGGATATGCATCATTTTCTGCCACTAAATTTGTGTTCATTTGGTACGCAGCAATAAAAACAAATACTGTAGGGCCTCCCCGGTGGCGCAGCGGTTGAGCGCTGGGTTGCAAAGCTGCCCGCAGCCTCTGCGGCGCCGGTTCGATCCCCGGCTGCTCCCCGGCCACCGGAGGAGGATCCCACATGGTGCGCAGACCTCTCCTGCCACCCGCTGCTCCCCTCAGCAGTGTACTTCAGTCCTTCTGCCTGCTCTGCTCCCCACTCTGGCTCTGGTGAATTCTCTCACCCTCCCGCGCTTCTGATTGTACCCAGTGCATGTATAAACAAAACAAATAAAATAAAATAAATAAATAAATAAATAAAAACATGCCTCTATAAAAAAAAAAAAAATAAAAAAAAAATAAAAACAAATACTGTATAGTGAAGAATAGAATTAAACTTTTAGTGATGAACCAAAACTTAATGCAGCAAAAATTCATATGTGAATTTTATTGATGCACACCTGAAACTTACATAATCTTATAATGCAATGTTACTTCAATAAACATCTATATATAGTGAGCCAACCTGATGAGGAAAAGAACATTCAAGTGTTTCAGTGGGATCACCAAACCATAGCTAATTATTAAATACTTTATGTTTCACTTAGAAAGGGAATTGGGGCAGATTAAGACAAGTGATCGCAGTCTCCCTGGCAGCCTAGGGGTTAAGTATCAGAGCTATCACCACTACAGCCTGAGTTCAATCCCCACTCCCTGCCAGGGAGCTAATCCACATGGTGCAGTAGACCTCTCCTGTCTCACCCGCTGCTCCCCTTAGCAATGTATTTCAGTGGATCCACCTGTTCTGCTCCCCACTCTGTATCTGGTGAATCTTCTCAATCCCCACATCTCTGGCCTACACCCCAGTTCTTCTATGAAAGAAAAAAAGAACAAGTAATCATTTGAAGGCTTACGTGTAGCTGTTTAAGACAGATAAGACAGTAACATTTACAAAGCATGAGAAGAGTGTGCTAAAAAGCTCTATGATTGTCAAACAATCTGAATGCAATCACATTAAGATACTATCCTAAAAAAACAAAAGAACAGAAAATAAGGTCTCTCTGGTGGCACAGGGTTAAAGTCTCAGCACTATCAAGCTATCACCAGCCACTGCAGCTTGAGTTCGATCCCCGGCCAGGGAGCTAACCCACATATGGCACAGCAGACCTCTTCTGTTTTGCCCACCGCTCCCCTCAGCAGTGTATCTCAGTAGATCTGCCTCTTCTGCTCCCCACTCTGTCACTGGTGAATCCTCTCACCCCCTGCACCTCTGGCCTATAACCCAGTTCTTGTATGCATAAATAGAAATTTTAAAAAATAAATCTTAAGGCCTCCCTGGTGGTACAAGGGATTAAGATGCAACCTATGAAGCTCTCCTCAGCCGCTGCAGCACGAGTTCAATTCCCCAGCCGGCCAGGGAGCAACCACATGGTGCAGCAGACCTCTCCTGACTCGCCTGCTGCTCCTCTCAGCAGTGTACTTAGGTCAGTCTGCCTGTTATGTTCCCCACTGTCTCCAGTGGATCCTCTCACCCCCCATACCTCTGGCCTGTATTCCAGCTCTTGTATGCATTAAAAAAAAATCTTAAATAATTTTTTTTTAAGATTTACTTATTTATTTATACAAGCACTGGGTACAGTCAGAAGCACGGGAGGGTGATAGAATTCACCAGAGCCAGATCGGGGAGCAGAACAGGCAGACGGACGAAATACACTGCTGAGGGGAGCAGCGGGTGTGGCAGGAGAGGTCTGCATGCCATGGGGTCCCTCACCGGCGGCCAGGGATCGAACCGGCGCTGCAGAGGCTGCGGGCAGCTTTGCAGCCCAGTGCTCAACCGCTTCGCCACCGGGGAGACCAGAGATATGTTTTATTTTAAGATTTATTTTTAGGGCCTCCCCTGGTGGCACAGTGGTTGAGCGCTGGGCTGCAAAGTTGCCCGCAGCCTCTGCAGCACCGGTTCGATCCCCAGCCACCAGCGAGGCTCCCACATGGCACGCAGACCTCTCGTGCCACACCCGCTACTCCCCTCAGCAGTATATTTCATCCGTCTGCCTGTTGTGCTCCCCACTCTGGCTCTGGTGAATTCTCTCACCCTCCCGTGCTTCTGACTGTACTCAGTGCTTATATAAATAAGTAAATCTTTTTAAAAAATAAAACATATCTCCTGAATTTTTTTTACACTTTATCACATCTCTATTAGACTAAGAAGACCCTGAGTTTTCTTTTATTTTTTTTAAGATTTATTTATTTATGCTACAAGAGCTGGGGTACAGGCCAGAGGTGTTGGGGGTGAGAGGACCCACCAGAGACAGAGTGGGGAACAGACAGGAAGACTGACTGAAATACACTGCCGAGGGGAACAGCGGACAAGTCAGGAGAGGTCTGCTGCGCCATGTGGGTAGCTCCCTGGCTGGGGATCGAACTTGTGCTGCAGCAGCTGCTGATAGCTTCATAGGTTCCATCTTAACCCCTTGCATTATTAACCAGGAAGGCCCCGACCCTGAGTTTTCTAATGTTATTTCTGCAAATAGTCCAAATACATAATTCTTCAAAATAGCTAAAATGTACAGATGTCTACAATGCAATTTTCTCCCACGCTGCCAATAATGATCTATATTTAAAAAAAAAAAAAAACCATGATTACCAGCAATAGAAGGAATGGTAGACACAAGAGGCAACAACAGAATTAATTTTAAGTCTAAGATCAGAGGATGAAGATGCTCTCTCTCACCACAAATTTTTATTTTACAATGTTAATCATTACATTACAAGATTGGAAAGTACAGCTCCATTAAGGAAAGACCTATATTTACTCAAGGCTATAACTCCATATAATTGCAACCATAACTAAATACCTCCTCTCCATTCTAAGAGGTAGAGGGGAAATAAAGATACATCTTAGCATAGTTTCTAATTTAAACACACCATCTGGTATATCCAAAATAAAAAGATAAAAATAACTCTGAAACAAAGATTACTTATAATTCCAGAATATTTTAATTTTAAAGAGTTTTAGTAAATAAAAACCCCACAATTTCCAAATGTCCATCAAAAGTGGAATGAATAATCAGTCCCGTCAGAGTTGGGGAAATTTTTTTAAATAAAGTAAGTGGAGCAGTATGAAGGCTGCTAACCATTCTCTTTCAAAAAGATAAAGATAAAACACTGCTTCCTCAAATAACCACTCAGAATGTCACTTGATAGGAAGAAGCAGTAGGAAAGTAATTGTTCATATTTACCTTATATACAGTACTGAACAATTAAGTGCCAGCTGTTATCTAGGAATGGCTTGCTAAAACATTGAAAAAATGAAAGACTTCATCCTTGTCAAAAACTGCCACTTCAGTGGAACATTCAGTGCACATCACTGGGTGGTAGATTTCTTCCACTTCTGTATCTACCTGCTCTGAAGCATCTTCATGATTAGACCGCATCTTCTTATGGCTTCGCCTTTTCTTCCTATTCTCTGGGGTTTTGTATCTTAGGACCTCCTCTTTGTTGACAGAACAATTCATCACAAACATTGCTCTATACTGAGTTTTGTATGATTCATGCCTAAGAGAAACAGGAAACAGAGAATTTGGATAATACATTTAGCTAAAATTTGAGAATACCAAAAACTTACTGACATGCCTGCCAGCGTAAAGACATGAGCACAAAACAGAAAAGTTAAAGAAATGTTAAGACTAGGAAGAAACTTGTTACATAATATAAGAATGAATATATCAGGGGTCTCCTTGGTGGTGCAGGGGTTAGACACCATCCAGGGCCTCCCTGGTGATGCAAGGGGTTAAGCATAGCACTGTGAAGGTATCTGTAGCCACTGTAGCACAAGTTTGATCCCCAGCCAGGGAGGTAACCCACATGGTGCAGCAGACCTCTCCTATCTCACCCGCTGATCCCCTCAGTAGTGTATTTCAGTCAGTCTGCCTATTTTGTTCTCCACTCTGTCTCTGGTGAATCCTCTCACCCCGTGTAGCTCTGGCCTATACCCCAGTTCTTGTATGCATAAATAAATCTTTAAAATAAATAAATAAATAAAAATAAAGACACCATTGGTATATCCGAAATATACTTATCAAGCTATCTCAAGCCACTGCGGCACTAGTTCAATCCCTGGCAGGCCAGGGAGCTAACCCACATGTACTGCAGACATCTCCTGCCTTGCCTGCTGCTCCCCCTCAGCAGTGTTATTTCAGTAGATACGCCTGTTCTGTTCCCCACTCTATCTCTGGTGAATCCTCTCACCCCCTACCTCTGGCCTTGTATGCATAAATTTATCTTTTAAAAAAAAAAACTTGCATATTCAAATAAAGTACTCCCCAACAGCAAACTTTTTTTAATGGTTAAAATAGTAAATTTCATCTTACATACATTTTATCACAATCAAAAATGTTGAGAGTATGTCATTCCATAACATATATGCAGAGGCCTCCCCGGTGGCACAGCGGTTGAGTGCTGGGTTGCAAAGCTGCCCGCAGCCTCTGCAGCGCTGGTTTGATTCCCGGCTGCTCCCCGGCCACCAGAGGAGGGTCCCATATGGCGCACAGACCTCTCCTGCCGCCCGCTGCTCCCCTCAGCAGTGTACTTCGTCACTCTGCCTGCTCTGCTCCCCGCTCTGGCTCTGGTGAATTCTCTCACCCTCCCGCGCTTCTGACTGTACCCAGTGCTTATGCAAATAAATAAATAAATCTTTTAAAAAAAAAAAAAAAAATATATGCAGTTCCCACTGAATCCTTATAAACACTGACAAGTACTTTATAAGAAAAGCTACTTAGAAATAAGTATAACCAAAATTATTTGTATATATCATATAAGCATTATGTAGCAAGGATTTGTGAGTACACAGTTTTATCAGACTTCCTAAGTACCTCAAAGTCCATTTCTGATTTAAACAAAGGAACTAACTTATTTTTTGATGTGTGTGTGCTGTTACCCTTTATCCATTACCTTTGGCAATCAAGACACAGTGTGGTCATGCAGGCAGGACAATTCAAAACAGCATCACTATTTGGAACAGGGTGTTGCTGTTGACGTCGCCTCTGTAATCCAAAACCATGGTAACTAGAACAAGGGAGCACCAAGGTACACATTAAAGTCAGATCCAGATTTCTAATGCCACTCTCCAATTTTTAAATAAACAGCAGGGGCACAAAGGGTTAAGCACTGCACTACGAAGCAGTCTGCAGCCTCTGCAGCACGAATTCCCCAGCCGGCCAGCAGATCTCTCCTGTCTCAGCTGCTGCTCCCCTCAGCAGTGTGTTTCAGTCAGTCTGCCTGTTCTGTTCCCCGCTCTGTCTCTGGTGAATCCTCTCACGCCCCGCATCTGGCTGGTACCCCAGCTCTTGTGTGAATAAATAAAAATCTTAAAAAAAAAAAAAAGCAAGCTCATAAGCTCTGAATCCTAAGGATTTGTGTCTGTTTTGTTCCCTGTTGTATTTCAAGAGTATAAAATGGTATCTGCTATATAGTAAGGGCTTGATAAATACTTGCTGATTAAAAGAACAAAGCATGAAATCCACTTATGATGACAAAGTATGAAAGTATGTATTTTTTAAAAATTTATTTTTATTTATTTGTGCATGCAAGAACAAGGGTGTAGGTCAGAGGTGTAGGGGTAAGGATTCACCAGGGACAGAGTGGGGAGCAGAACAGGCAGATCTACCGAAATACACTTTTTTAAGGGGGGCAGTGGGCAAAACAGGAGAGATCTGTTGCACCATGTGGGTTAGCCCCCTGGCCGGAATCAAACTCATGCTGCAGTGGCTGGCAACAGCTTGATAGCACTGAGACTTTAACCCTTGTGCCACCAGGGAGGCCCCTGAAAATATATTCTTAAAGGAGGCTAATGGTAAACTAATAAAAATAGTAAACAAATGATAAACTATTTAACTATTTGCATTTATTCCTAAACTCTTTAAATATTTGTGAGGAAAAAATACTGAAAATGTGGTACATATAACTGTTAAGTATCTTCAATGCTCAGCAAATTTCAAAATCCAAATCAGAGGAGGCTAACTTAGTCATTCATTCAATACATATTGAGAACCCATGTAACAATGCATAAAATGCTTGGCATATAGCACCGAATCAGACAGGCATGATCACTACTTAAAATGTAGTGAATCATTATTTGAAACTGGTTTCTGTGGTCTTAAAAGTCTATCAGGGCCTCCCCTGGTGGCACAAACAGTTGAGCACAGCGCTGTGAAGCTGTCCACAACCTCTGCAGCGCCAATTCGATTCCCAGCCAGCGGGTGAGGATCCCACATGGCGCAGCAGACCTCTCCTATCACGCCCACTGCTCCCCTCAACAGTGTATTTCGTCAGTCTGCCTGTTCTGTTCCCATCCTGTCTCTGGTGAATCCTCTCACCCTCCCACGCATCTGGCCTGTACCCGGGTTCTCGTATGTATAAATAAATAAATCTTAGAAAATAAATAAATAAAAGTCTATCATTTCTTGATATAGGAATATATCAAGTCAAAATATTTCTTCTCAAGACTATGTAACAAAAAAAATGTATTTCATCTTATTCATTGACAAATTTTGTTATTAAAATTGGGAACTAGATTATCAGCTCCCTGACTTTCTCAATATCACTCATAGAGCTTAAAATGTTCAATTCACACTGCTGATGATCAAAAAATAATTCATTAAAGAAATGCAAAGGGCCTCCCTGGTGATGCAAGGAGTTAAACACAGCACTATGAAGTTTTCTGCAACCTCTGCAGCACAAGTTTAATCCCCAGCCAGGGAGCTACCCACATGGTGCAGCAGACCTCCCCTGCCTCACCCACTGCTCCCCTGAGCAGTGTATTTCAGTCAATCTGCCTGTTCAGTTCCCCACTCTTTCTCTCGTGAATCTTCTCACCCTCCATATCTCTGGCCTGTACCCCACTTCTTGTAAGTATAAATAAATAAATCTTTAAAAAAAAATGCAAAGAACAACTGGAAGAAGCGGTGCCTCGGTAAAACTGAAGAGGAAAAAGGACAAAATGGGAGAGTGGAGGATTAAAGGTGGCATAAAAAGACCCACAGCACATTAAAATCCCTCTGTACTGGAAAAATAGAGGTTCTTGGGCCTCCTTGGTGGCACAGGGGCTAAAATCTCAGCACTATCAAGCTATCACCAGCCCTTGAGGCACTAGTTCAATCCCCGCCCAGCCAGGGAGCTAACCCACATGGTGCAGCAGATCTCTCCTGACTCGCCTGCTGCTCCCCTCAACAGCGTATTTCAGATCTGCCTGTTCTGCTCCCCACTCTCTCTGGTGAATCCTCTCACCCCCTGCATCTCTGGTCTACACCCCAGTTCTTGTATGCATAAATAAAAATAAATCTTAAAAAAAAAAAAAAACAATCTATACCAACACATGAACAAACAAATTGATATATCCATACAATGGAATATTATTCATCCATTAAAAAGGAAATATTGATATAAACTACAATATGATTTAACCTCAGAAAACATTATGCTAAGTGAAATAAGTTAGATGCCTAGGTCACACGTTGTAGGATACTCCATTTATATCAAATATCCAGAATAGAAGCCACAGAGGCAAATGGGTAGTTGCCAGAAACTGGGGAAGGGAGATGGGGAACTGCTTAACAAATATAGTTTCCTTTGGAATCGTAACAATGGTTTGAAACTAGATAAAGGTTGTGCCCGCACATCATCATAGATGTACTAAATGCTATTAAATTGTTCATTTCTAAATGGTTAATTTTGTTATATGAAATTCATCTCAATTTTTAAAAATCAAATTAGTAAATAGTTAAAAACAATTTATGTGGTAAGCATATCATACACTATTCATATAAACTTTTTTTTTAAGATTTATTTTTATTTATTTATGCATACAAGAACTGGGGTACAGGCCAGAGGTGTGGGGTAGGGATGTAAAAGGATTCACTAGAGACAGAGTGGGGAGAACAGGCAGATGTACAGAAACACACTGCCTGAGGGGAGCAGTGGGCAAGACAGGAGAGGTCTGCTTCACCATGTGGGTTCATTCCCTGGCCGGGATCAAACTCATGCTGCAGTTGCTGCTGATAGATAGCTTCATAGTGCTATGTCTTTAACCCCTGTGCCACCAGGGAGGCCCCTTCATATAAACTCTTAATCTCAAATTTATTTCAAACTGTGTTTACTTGGAGAAAATCAGTTCTGTTTCTTGAATGGAAAGAGTGACTACAGGAACTTGAATTCAACAGTAATTTTTTAAAAAGTAATTGAATGAAATTTGCTAGTTATATTCAAATTGAACTACACACAGCAGTTTTTCTCCAAGCTTGCTTTGTTTAGGTGTGCCTGTATAAACATATATATGTGTACACCCACACATTCAAAATGTGAATAAAGTAAAAAATCATCATTTAATCATTTTTTTTCTCTAAAGATTCTAAATATTAAATTTCAGTTCTTACCCTCTTCTCTGTGCATCAACCCAGGCCTGATCTCTGTTGTCTTTTTCAGGATCATATAATAATTCATCATTTGTTGGAATCCTGTGTCGCTGCTTCTTTTTTTTCTTGGTCATCTGTGCTAATTTTGAAAATATTAAGGACATGAATAAGTATCAAGTTTAAAGTTCACACTTCTTTAACACAGAATGGAGAATCCCACTTCCTAAGTTATGTATTTTTTTCTACTTATTTTTTTCCTAAAAAAAGTCTCTAAACTTCGTCCAATTAAAGTTTGTGTACAATTAATAAGGCACTAAAAATGAAGATGACTGAGAAGTCAAAAAATTTTTCACTGAATACCGGCATCTCAAGTAATAGGTTCAAATAATAAGAATTCAGAATCTAAAAAGGCCACCCAAAGCAGGCCAAAAATAAAAATTGTTTTTGATATCTAAATTCTCCATATGATCCTAGATATAAATGCTACTAAAGTCAGAACAAAAAATATTTCAAAAAAGAATGAAAAAAAAAAAGGGGCCTCCCTGGTGGAACAGGGGTTAAACAGCACTGTGAGGCTGTCTGCAACCTCTGCAGCATGAGTTCGACCCCCGGGTGGCCAGGGAGCTACCCCATGGCGCAGCAGACCTCTCCTGTCTCACCTGCTGCTCCCCTCAGCAGTATATTTCAGTCAGTCTGCCTGTTCTGCTCCCCACTGTCTCTGATTAATCCTCTCACCCCCCTCACCTCGGGCTGTACACCAGTTCTTGCATGCATAAATCAATCTTTTTTTTTTTTAAATAGAGGCATGTTTTATTTATTTATTTGTTTGTTTGTTTGTTTGTTTATACATGCACTGGGTACAGTCAGAAGCATGGGAGGGTGAGAGAATTCACCAGAGCCAGAGCAGGGAGCAGAGCAGGCAGAAGGACCGAAGTACACTGCTGAGGGGAGCAGCGGGCAGCAGGAGAGGTCTGCGCGCCATGTGGGACCCTCCTCCGGTGGCCAGGGAACAGCCGGGGATCGAACCGGCGCCGCAGAGGCCGCGGGCAGCTTTGCAACCCAGCGCTCAACCGCTGCGCCACCGGGGAGGCCCAATAAATCAATCTTTGCTCAAAGATTTATTTATTTAAACATACAAGAGCTGGGGTACAGGCCAGAGGTGTGGGGGTTGAGAGGATTCACCAAAGACAGAGTGGGGAGCAGAACAGGCAGATCTACTGAAATACACTGCTGAGGGGAGAACAGGAGAGACAAAAGAGGTCTGCTGTGCCATGGGGGTAGCTCTCTGGCTGGGGATGGAACTCATGCTGCAATGGCTGTGGATAGCTTCACAGTGCTGACACTTAACCCCTGGCACCACCAGGGAGGCCCCACACTAGACTTTTTAAATGTAGTTAAGGAGATCTACATTTAGATAATAGCACATTAAAATATAGAACTGTTTTATCGGGCCTCCCCTGGTGGTGCAGCAGTTGAGCACTGGGCTACAAAGCTGCCCACAGCCTCTGCAGCACCGATTTGATCCCTGGCAGCCGGCGAGGGTCCCACATGGTGTGACAGACCTCTCCTGTCTTGCCCGCTGCTCCCCTCAGCAGTGTATTTCGTCAGTCTGCCTGTTCTGTTCCCTGCTCTGGCTCCGGTGAATTCTCTCACCCTCCCGCACTTCTGACTGTACCCAGTGCTTGTATAAATAAATAAATAAATCTTTTTTTAAAAAAAAAACTTCATCACAGAAAATTTTTCTTTGTGTATTCCAGGGTAATTGATATAATTAAATTAGCTTCAGCTCCTATCATGTTTAACTTTGCTCAAGTTTTATACAAAATCAATCACAAAGAAAAGATAAGCTGATTTAGAAAGCAAAATATAAAAGCCAGAAGTTAAGAAAACTTCTGCAATGAGGTAAAAATATTTGAAGGTTTAAAACAAATGCTGCTTTAAGGAACCTGAAAGAAGAGTGAGGCAAGAGCCCTAAGAAGGCATTCAGTTAGGACAGACTCTACCTCTCCTCAGGTGCACCTATGTAGCACCACTGTTGGTTCCATGTCCTCTTACATGTGTATGCCCATCCACTTTGATTCAACAATTCTGCTTTTGTTTTCATATCAATGACTGCAATTTCTTAAAGGATAAGAGTCACAGGGAAATCCTAATGCCAAATGATCACAAGGTAAACTCTTTTCACAAAATGTAACAGCTAAACCTAGTAAACATGTTACTTACTTGTTTTGTCTTCATCCTCAGAATCAGAATCAAAATATATATCATCATAGTACTTTGTTGAAGTTGTTCCAACTTTCCCATACCCTGAGCAAGAACCTATTCAAACCATAAGGAAAGTTTACAGATTAAATCATACATAATTCACAAGTAACTTCAATCTCATTTGGATGGGAAAATTGTTTCACATCAAAGACATACTATCTCTGTGCCCTATGTTATTACAGAGAACTTCCCCTCCTTGATTAAATGTTCCAAATCATGAAAAAATTATTCTAATTAAACAGCCACCAGCATACAGATTTCTACTTTTCAGTTATGCAGTATATTGTGGAAAATAGGAATCATCTTGTTTTAACGGACTTTAGGGGAAAGGGGATAGCCCTACAGAGAAACAGGGAATGAGTCAAGGACATATTCTTACTCTTCTCACTTGTGCCTAATGCCATGACATTTTCCACACAGATGCCTGCATCCCTAAAAGATTTGCTTTTGTTCTTCCTCTTATTTTTTTTCTTTTAGTACTTAAGAGTTAACATACAGCATAACCACATGGAAACCAATGTTGAGAAGTCCTGTTTTCATAAGCCAGTTTTATTTATACAAGCACTGGGTACAGTCAGAAGCATAAGCCAGTTAAAAACTGGCTTAAGCATAAGCCAGTTAAAAACATTTTACAAAATGACCAATTATCAAACATATTCACCAGAGACAGAGAGGGGAGCAGAACAGGCAGGTTGATTAAAAAACATTGCTGAGGGAAGCAGTGGGTGAGATGGGAGAGGTTTGCTGTGCCATGTGGGTTAGCTCCCTGGCCAAGGATTGAACTCCTACTGCAGTGGCTGGCAATTGCTTCATAATGCTGAGACTTAACCCCCAGCACCACTAGGGAGATCCCATAATTGAACTTTCTTTAAGTACTATTGAATATATTAGAAATGTCTGTCATTAATTTTGATAGCATGAAATGCCCTCTGATGTCTGCTTTAATTCTGTCATTCTATTGATGGGGAAACTCAGGAAAGGATGCCAAGTAAATTGGCAGAAGTTGTCCAGGATAAGTTGGAATTACTTTAGCATTCTCTCTATAGGTCTTTATAGCTCTGTGGCTTTTAAATTGTAAGTTAACTTGCAATATGTTCCATTTCCTACTGAAATGAGACAGGAATGTGTGATGATACATCATTTAGTATGCCATGTCCGTATTATACAATCCTAAAAAATGTGTCTACAAGCTTATATTTCTTTCTTTTCTTTTTTTTCCCAAGTCCCGGAGTAAAAATTACAAAAGGAAATTATGCAAGGAAACACTAAGTGTTCTCTCTCCAGCAACACAGGAAATTTCTTCACTAATCATCAAAGAACACTCTCAATAAACGCTCTAGTTCAGATTGCCAAACGATTTATTCATTTATTCAATAAATATCTGAATACAAACTGAAAGTGCTAGGGATAAAACAGAGCACAGACTAGGGTTCTGTCCTTACAGAGCTTACAAAAGTATTTACAGAAAATCTTAACTAAAGTTTACCTCTTTCCAGAGAGGATAACTTGTCCTCCATTGTTTTTATAGTAGAATTTAATTCAGCTTCCATTTCTTTTTCAAATTCATCTTCACTAGATGACTCACTTTCTCCAGTAAGACATTCTCTGATTAGTTTTCGTTTTTGGTCAGGAGTTCCATGTAAAAGCACATCCACTTCATCTTCAGAGCTAGTATATATAAAAACCATAAAAATATGAATATTAAAGGATTAAAATTTTAAAATTCCCATCCTCTCACTACTGAAGAATTTTTTTTTAAAGATTTTTATTTGTGCATACAAAAACTGGGGTTTAGGCCAGAGGTGTGGGGTGTGTGAGGATTCACAAGAGACAAAGTGGGGAGCAGAACAGGTAGATCTACTGAAATACACTGATGAGGGGAACAGTGGGCAAGACAGGAGAGGTCTGCTGCACCATGTGGATTAGCTCCCTGGCTGGCCAGGGATTGAACTCGGTGCAGTAGTGGCTGGCAGTAGCTTGAAAGCACTGTGTCTTTAACCCGTGCACCACCAGGGAGGCCCCCTATAAACAGTTATTCTGACTTGATAGATGAATTATTTCTGCACATTTCTAATTTTTTTAAAGGCTGCATAACATTTCCTCTTGAAGATGCTAAAATTTATTTCTAACTTTTTGCTAATATATACAATGAACATCCCTGCATGTTTCTGTTGATTTCATAGGATAAATGCTTAGAATTAGATGCAAACACCTTTCAGACTTCTGAATTTTCACACTGCTTTCCAAAAGTATTGCACCAATTCATAATTCCATCAGAAATAAAAAGTTTACTTCACAGAACATTGAGTTTTTTAAAACTCTGGACACTAAATAAAACTGTAACACAGGTATATTACTAGTATATCCACATAGACATTAATAGTTAGAAGTTAACTTACAATTTAAAAGCCACAGAGCTATAAAGACCTATAGAGAGAATGCTAAAGTAATTCCAACTTATCCTGGACAACTTCTGCCAATTTACTTGGCATCCTTTCCTGAGTTTCCCCATCAATAGAATGACAGAATTAAAGCAGACATCAGAGGGCATTTCATGCTATCAAAATTAATGACAGACATTTCTAATATATTCAATAGTACTTAAAGAAAGTTCAATTATGGGATCTCCCTAGTGGTGCTAGGGGTTAAGTCTCAGCATTATGAAGCAATTGCCAGCCACTGCAGCAGGAGTTCAATCCTTGGCCAGGGAGCTAACCCACATGGTACAGCAAACCTCTCCCATCTCACCCACTGCTTCTCTCAGCAATGTTTTTTAATCAACCTGCCTGTTCTGCTCCCCTCTCTGTCTCTGGTGAATCCTCTCACCCCCCATCCCTCCCCTCCCCACACACACCTCTGGCCTGTATCCCAGTTCTTGTGTGCATAAATAAATCTTTAAAAAAAAAAAAGTTAACTAGAAAAATAAAAGTTAACTTAAAGAGAAATATTAAATAACACAGGTGAATATGAAGAATGTTAACATCAGGATAACACAAGTTCAGGAAACACTGCAATATACCAATCAAACTGAACTACTAATAGAGGCCTATATACACCTCACAAATGGACCCATTAACTCAAACTCGTTTTCACAGGAAATCTTAAGAAACTATCTTAGTTCCCTACAACAGCAAATTTCACAGTAGTCTAATCTCCCATGCTTAAAATCCCTCCCCAGGATAGTATGAGGAAACACTGATTGAAGGAAGGAGAGAATCATGGAAAGCTTTCTGAGACATAATACTTTTAAGTTTATCAACAGGATCTGCTGAGAGCTTAGAAAGTAGCTAAATTTCCCTGGAAATCACTTGGCAAAGTAAGCAAATTTCCCCCAAGTAGGCTGAATCCTTTCTTTCTGGTAATTCCCACGGAACAGTATCTGTGCCCATCTCAGGATCAATTTTTTCTACAAAGCTCTTCCAAGCCACATACTTTGTTTCCCACTAAACTGTAAATCTGTGAAAAACAAAGATCTTATGATAGCCTCTGCAGTGCAGACCAAGCACTGGTGCTCCCAAAAAGTCTGTTAAGTGGTTCCTTATTTCTAATTACGATACTTTAGTCTTCAAAATAAGTAGCTCACTTTGACCAAATCCCGTGAGCTTCACAACATACTCATGATACAACTACCGTATGCCCTTTTCATAGGTGGGAAACCAAAAGGGACTTGCCTTAGGTCACAAGGCCAGTAAGTTGCAGAGGTCGAATTCGGTCTCACAGATTCTGCAGATTTACGCGTGGTTTCAGAATATCCCACTTCCCAGTGCCAGTGTCAGCCCCGCCTCCCCAGTGTCTGCGCGACCTCACCAGAACCCCCCTCAGCCCCCCGCAGACGACTGCAGGCCAGGACTGGGGCCCACAGGCGCCTTGAGGGGAGGAGGCAGAGGCCTGGTCTCGACCCGAAGCTCCAAGGGCCGCGCGGGGGCCGGGCAAACCTGCTCAAAGCCGGTTCCTCGTCGCTGGGCTCTTCAACTGCGTAGGGGTCATAGTCATCTCGGAGCCGGTCCATGGCGGCTGGGACTCTCCAACGACGTCCACGGGCGCCGGAGGTCCTGTTTACGCCGCCAGGTCCCTCCCCTAAAGTGCCCCCTACCCCACTTCCGCCCGCACTTCCGCTCCCGCCCGATGCGCGTGCGCAGATCGCCCTGGCAAGGGATGTGGGTGGGTAGGGCCTGTCCCGGGGTCCCCACAGCGCCCTCTGCTGCTCCTTTACTTGGAAACAGATACTTGGAAACAAAACAGTCGCGGGCACCCTCGCAAATGGCAGTCTCTAAGATGAACAGTCAACATGCAAAGTCTCAGTTCACCGAGGTGACCTAAAGAAGGAAAAATCCAAATACTGAAGAACAAGCTACCTAAAATCCTGGCTTGGTCCCCAAGCACTGACACCTAACATCCCTCCCAACCTCCTCGCCTCAATTCCTTTTTCCTCCCTTTCACCGTGAGGATGCCCCGCCTTTACACTTTTCCCTCCTCAAGCTGACTTTGTCCTCGACTATCTGCTGAAAAGTTCCTAGGTTGTCACCGGTTACTTCCTAATTGCCTTTCTTGGTCTCTTCTTAGTTCCAACATTTGCTCGGTCCTTATCCGATTCCACTTGAGATGAGGTAGATGACAACTTCTTGACTATGAGACCGGCTCTTCCCCTGTTTCTGCACCTGTATATACTCAGGTTCTAGGCTTCTCTCAGACACTCTCCTCACGTCTTCATCCACTTCAGATGATTTGAGTCCCAGCCCTCTGCTCTACTTTGTCAGTTTTCCAACTGCCTACTAGATATCTCCCCTTGCAACCCCACTAGCAATTCAAACGTAATGTACCCCCCAAACCAACTCAAGATCTCCTACTCCATTTCTATACTTCAATCAGTAACTACTTTGACTCTTGGTTTCTGCTCATGTCACTTCCTCCATCCCTGCCAGAGACTGAAAGTCTTGGAATCTTGGTTGACTCCTTTATTATTTTTTAAGATTTATTTTTATTTATCAATGTATATAAGAACTGGGGTGTAGGCCAGAGGTGGAGGGGTTGAGATGATTAAACAGAGACACAATGGGGAACAGCACAGGTGGATCTACTGAAATACACTGCTGGGGGGAGCAGCAGGTGAGACAGGAAAGGTCTGCTGTGCCATGTGGGTTAGCTCCCTGACTGGGGATCAAACTCATGCTGCAGTGGCTGCCTATAACTTGATAGCACTGAAACTTAATCTAACCCCTGCACCACCAGGAAGCCACTGTTTTTGTTCTTTTTAAAAAGATCATAAAGTATCAAAGATTTTGTTATAGATCAACTAAACTACAGCCTTTCTGCTTTTGTGTAGCCTGTGTGCAGGAAGGGTGTTCATATTTTTAAATGGTTGTAAAAAGACAGCCAAAGAATAATAATATTTCATGATATTTGATAATTACATGAAATTATATTTAACCTATAAATAAGAATACAGCCACACTTATTAATTAATGCTTTGTCTGTGGTTGCTTTCACACTGCTATGGAAATATTGAGACTGAATGTCTTTCAAAGTCTGAAATGTTTACTCTTTAGCCGTCTACAGAAAGAGTTTTATAACCTCTACGATGGATAAATGCCTTCCTCTGATTTTCCATATTCTGTACTTCAAATCTTTTCTAAAATGAATTCTCTGTCTTCAAATTTTGAAAGCTCTTCTATTCCAATGACACTCAACTGGAGGTGATTTTGCCTCCCAGGAGACGTTTAGCAATGCCTGGAAACATTGTGGTTGTCATACTGCAGGTGAGGATTACATGGACCAAAAAGTCAGGAGTGTGAGGTTGAGAAATTTTTCTCTGTTGTCTAAGATATCCCAAAATCCACAAAAACTATCCCCAAGACTAGATATTAGTAAGTTTACAATAAGGTGCTTACTGTTTTGTATTTCATTTATTATAATTGGTGTATGTCTTGCCACATAATTAAAATCTGGTTATAATAGAAAACTAGGTTGTTATCAGTTGTTTTTTTTTTGAAGATTTATTTATTTATATGAGAACCGGGGTACAGGCCAGAAGCGCAGGAGGGTGAGAGGATTCATCAGAGACAGTGCAGGGAACAGAGCAGGCAGACTGACGAAATACACTGCTGAGGGGAGCAGCAGGAATGATAGGAGAAGTCTGCTGCTCCATGTGGGACCCTCGTCGGCTGGCCGGGATCGAACTGGCGCTGCAAATGCTGCGGACAGCTTCACAGCACTGCGCTCAACCGCCTGCGCTACCAGGGGAGGCCCAAGATTTTTATTTATTTATTCAAACAAGAACTGGGACATAGGCCAGAGGTGCAGGGGAGTGAGAGGATTCAACAGAGACAGAGTGGAGAGCAGAACAGGCAGAGCTACTAAAATACACTGCAGAGGGGAGCAGTGGGTGAGACAGGAGAGGTCTGCTGCGCCATGTGGGTTAGCTCCCTGGCCAGAGAGCGAACTCGTGTTGCAGAGGCTGTGGATTGCTTCACAGTGCTGTGTTTAACCCCTTGGGTCACCAAAGAGGCCCAGGTGTAGATGGAAATTTACTGAAAAACTGGCATGTGGAAAACAGTGCACAGGAAACAATTTAAGTAATTATTTTTTCTTTTAAACTTGTATTTATATATAGTGAATGGCTCTTTGCAAAATTATCATACCTTAGCAAACTTGTATTTTCAACAGGAATCTTCCAAACTCTGAACTTCATAATTTATCCCCTCCCCCGCCCCTTTTTTAGGGTAACCTACAGTTGCTGCAAAACTGCCTGGCAGTGTTAAATGGAGACACATAAGCCACACTCCACCTTCTGGTTGAAAAGGGCTGCCTTCCTTCAGATTTTTATTTCTGTTTTCTTAATGATATTAGGCATTTATGGCTTGCTGGAAACAAAAGAAACAGCTGACAAAGTGCATCTATTTTCCTTTTCTTCTGAGAAACAGTGGAGCAGTGCCGCCCACAGGTGCTGCAGTCTGTGGTGGTCACTGTGGTCCAGCATCTGAACCCCACACAGCTCTCCATCCCCATCACCTTGTGCGCCTGCCCTTCAAAAGCCAAAAGTTCAGTCTTTTTGTTTAAATTGCCTCTGTAATTGTTAATTTTATGACTAGCATTCCTTATGGCTGCCAGTCTTATTTACCTCTAATTTCTGAAATTTAACCCTTTCAAAATACATTGTTCAATTGAGATAAAGATTGCTGTTACTTTTTTGCGAATTTTGTTTTTAAAAAATACCGTATACCACCTTCATGTATTCTGGAAAAGCATCTTAATCAGACTTACTTTTAATTAATGATGTTTTAGGGGCAGACTTTATGTATGTAATCTTTATGATTTCTGAAGAAAAGCAAATGCATTAGTATGTTTGCCTTAAACTTGTAGACTAAACCAATTATTGTCAAATAAACGGTGATAACAGTGATACTTTTTAACTGTGGTCATTGTAGATCACTTTAAAATGTGGAGTAGCTATAATAAATCTACTCCTCTATTATGTATGCTTTACAGTGCAAGTCTTAGTTTTCTCTTTACTTGTATTTCTTTTAAAGTGGCATACTGGACCAAGTTGACCAATCCCTTTACAAAAGAAGGAACTGCTTCTCTGTGCACTTTTAGCCTTCATAAAAATTGGAATTGGGCAGAGGCAGGTTAGAGACAGCTATGTGTGAAATGCAGGTTTCCTGGAACCCATCCCTAGCTCAGCCAGTGAACCATGCAGCAATTTGCCATTGGAGCCCCTTGGTAATTGTCTACATGTATGACTGACATGTAGAGGGAAAGAGCCTGCTATAGGAAATGGCACCTGTTGATGAGAAATGAGACTTGGGATAAAAGTTGGTGTACAGAAAGGATACTAATAATGGTCAGTTACAATACAGATGTTATTGGACTTTCTAATGTGAATGAACATTATGTCTTCCTAGTTTAAAACTAGATTGAGTAGGGCCTCCCCTGTGGCGCAGCGGTTGAGAGCTGGGTTGCGAAGCTGCCCACACCCTCTGCAGCACCAGATCGGTCCCCGGCCACCGGGAGATGGTCCCACATGGTGCGCATACCTCTCCTGCCGCCCGCTGCTCCCCTCAGCAGTGTATTTCGTCAGTCTGTCTGTTCTGCTCCCGGCTCTGGCTCTGGTGAATTCTCTCACCCTCCCGCGCCTCTGACTGTACCCAGTGCTTGTATAAATACATAAATAAATCTTTAAAAAAAAAATTAGATTGAGTAGTTGGAGTCTTCCACTTTTTTGTAACTTGTACTTCAAGCAATGCATTACATTGCTTGGTAAGGCAATGGTTTAAGGCAACCATGTAATATAATGCATTACATACAAGTTTAAGGCAACCATTTGTGTTGGCCTCCTCTCAGTGGGCCTCAGGAGGCGGCCCGGAAAATGCGTGTTTCCTTAGGGACATGTTCACAGGCACAGGGAGATGCCATCCAGCATTCTAGATGGCCAGAGTTGTGTCCCTCCCAATTCCATTCTTTATGAAAGCACAAGTCCACTCCTTACACAAGCACTGTACTCCACTCACGTGTGGTGCTTCACTGTCACTTGCTTGGGAGTGAGACAAGTCAGTTCCAGTCCCTCGGCAACGCCATGCTGCACCTGCCCGCTGCAGAGGAGTAACCGCCAGCAGTACCGTCCCAGATCCCCTGGGCATGTTCTCAGTAGCCCTACAGGCTGAACTTACCCCCGTGAACATGTTGACAAATGTCAGCAGGACAAATGTCCCAGAATGGTGGCCCCCCGCCTCCCATCCTTAAACACTCTTAGTTTCCTTATAAAAACAAAAGTGTGTCCACAAGTACACTGCAAAAGATAACTTAGATCTACATTGCCCCCCTCACTTAATAACCAATTCACGAGGAAAAAAAAATCACATATTAAACAGCGTAGCAACAAGTCTGGGAAAGTTCTTTTCTTTGAAAACCCGTTATCAGGGGAGAGCGCGAACGCAGTCCCCCACTACCACAAATTATGCAGTCGAGTTTCCCACATTTGGGGAAATCGCAGGGGTCAGCACATCCGGAGTGCAATGGATAAGCCTCGCCCTGGGAAAACCACCTTCGTGATCATGGTATCTCCCCTGCCAGGTAAGTATGAGCTG